ATGTTAATATTAAGGATAAATATTTTTATGTATTATTGTATTTTGTGTGTAAACTCAAACTATTTAATTTTGACATGGTAGTTGACCTGATTGTTTTAAAGAAGAATAGTAGCTGAAAGGGGGCACTGAGAGGGCCTTCAATGATATATCAGAATTGTTTGGGGTAGATTACGAGACATACGCAAAAAATGAGGGACGTCCGTGTTATATGAAGATGTTGACGGGGGTAGAATACGCTTTTTTAACGTCGCTGTAAAGGATGTATATGTAAAAGCGCCACTTCGTTGGGTCCCAAAAGGAATAGCCACAAGAAGGCTGCCACGCGTCGAGGTCTCCAGGCCACTCCCGATGGTTCTGGAATGCCCCCCCTCTCCCAACAGTCAATAAAGGAGGTAGCGGTAATCCCCCAGCTCGTTCGTTACGTCTCAGTCGGTTCTTCTCCGCCTCAAGAAGACCTCGGCGATCGAGAACTCCCGATGGCTCTGGAATGCCCCTTCCCCCAACAGTAAATAAAGGAGGTAGTAGTAATCCCTCGTCTTGTCCACGACGCTCTGACGACCTTTCCCCTGTCTCTGTCGGTTCTCCTACGCCCTCAAGAAGACCTCAGGTGACGACGACATCGGTCCTGTGTACCCCGCCGCCTACTCCCTCCCCTAGTATCAGCAGGTTGTCTCGCCCGATCCTCTCTTTGTTTCCGTTTCTCGTTGGGTAGCCGCGAGTATAATGATATCTTCTTCTTGAAAGACCCGTTCCTTGTTGGTTTTATTTGATAAAATCTTGATCTCCCGTTGGAATCCGAGATGCATTTCGTTGTTGCTGGATGGTTTGATGTTGTTTCCTAGGATGCGTGAATCTAAAGAAATTTCGTATAGTTTCGTTTATCATTCATGGTATATAAGCCTAAGAGATATCAAGGCTCTCCCTCTTTCCATTAAATTTAAAGGATCTTTTGAATCTTTCCTTCTTTGTTTGTTCTCTTTCCTTTGTACGCAAGAAGAGTTTCTTGTTTTGAGATTAATAACGAAGGAGCATGATATTGATGCCTAGTGTTGTTACCAGCTGAAATTTCTGGGTACAAGAGTGGACGATTGTTCATATTGTTAGTAATGAACGCGGTGGTAACAATTTCCAGGTGTCAGCATTTTCGCAGATATTTGGAATAGAAACTAATTTGAAGAGGTACCCAACATAAGAAAGATTTAGTTCGTCTTTCGGCTGAGAGTAATCCGAATTACTTTGATTTGGATTAGGGTTTATTTTATCAAGAACATCTCATACAGACAATTCTTTAATTTCTTTCATAATGACTGTTCCTACGATCTTTTGTCTTCTTTTTTTTTTTGCGTTGATACTGTGCAAAACAATAAATCCTACGCTATAAATGTTCTTTTCTCATAATTTCTTGTGCGTCAACCACAATTTTGGTTTGCGCGAAACCATATGCTATATACATGGGAACTTATAATTGTTGGAGACACTGTATCATAACGGTCATGCATGTTTCGGGAAGAAAGCACCCTTAATTAATTTGAGAAAATTGTAACAGGATTTTCGTGCTGGAAGAGGGTTTTTATAGCGACGGTTACTATTGCCTGATGTGTCTGCCCGTAGAGAGTAGGATCGTACTTCTGATAGCGTCTGACATCGATGTTGGCGTGGCGCGAGGGATCGAGCCTGAGCAGGATGTTAATGTGCTTCGGTCGACGTTTCGATCCGTGTTGATCAGGTGCTGTCAGGTCAACAGAGACATGAGGCGTAATCTGGGACAACTGACGTTACCCGAGTCTTATCATCATTATTATCCTCATCAATAGTCCGCCATGAAACATATGCAAATGACATGAAGACCCTAAGATTCTGATAATAATAGAAATCTTGATCCGAGTTGCCATTAAATCGCGGAAGATCGATCCAAAACGAAACCCTACGCTCCAAAATGTTTGAAATCGTGATCGGAGGACCCATAAGCTATCACTTGCGTTCCTAGCAAAAGAAAAATCAGGATCTAACGCCCACAGAACTCCCAACTCCATATTTCCGAGAACTGAGACATATCGAACGAGATCAACCAACAAACTAGGCTTCAAGATTCAAGATAAGCGAAACCCAGACGGGAAGAAGGGCCAAATACAAATCGCGTATGGTAGGGAGGTTCTCTAGGCTTCAAGATTCAAGATAAGCGAAACCCAGATCGAAAGAAGAATCGGATATGCTTGGAAGGTTCTCAAGGCTTCAAGATTCAGGATAAGCAAAACCCCGATCGAAAGAAGCATTAACAGGAATCGGCTTGAAGATTCAAGAAAAACAAAACCCAGATCGAAAGAAGCATCAACAGAAATCGGGTACGGTTGGAAACCATCGAAACAGAGAGAGAGAGAGAGAGAGAGGCGGTCCTTCCATAGCGATGAGGTTGAGGATCGAGGGAGAGGTGGGCTTCGGCGCGAGAATCCTTAACAATCGGAACGGAGCCCCAACCGTGACAGTAACAACCGACTCGGTTTGGGTTTTGAAAGACTTCGCTTTATAAAGCAAGCGATATGTCCCGATTGGGCTTACTATCACGTGCGATGCACGCGCCATCTCTTTGTTAACTGTGTCGTACTCAAAATAATGCCTCCGTTGTTTTGCACGACTTTTTCTTGTTCCTTTTTTTATTTTTATTTTTTTATGATTAAGGAAGGATATATCACTTTTTTCAACATTTTTTTTTGAAAAAAAAATATTTGTATCAAGTGACAAAAATATAGTCTAGTTCAGTGGATTTTCCTCTGCTTGCCGGGTTCCTTTTCTATTATATATCATCCATCTGGAAGATGAGATCATGCTACTTATCATCATATTTACTATTTCATCAATTGGAACAAATTTTAGTGTCGGGTTCAGTTGATGGTTCTCTTCAAGCAAATGGGGTGGGTATTCAAGAGATATAGATAGGGGTGAAGAAAATGGGCATCAAGCAAAGAAATTATAATTTTCAGGATGGGTATTCAAGAGATATAGATAGTGATGAAGAAAATGGCCATGGAGCAAAAAAATTATAATTTTCTAGTTCAGAGGACAAAAAAAGATATGGAAATGTAATCTTTCAGACCATGCTTGCTTGAACCAATTCCAGGTAAATTAAACGGGGTGGGCATTCAAGAGATGTAGATAGTGGTGAAGAAAATGGCCATGGAGCAAAGAAATTATAATTTTCAAG